GAAGGATTTTGGTTGACGTTCAGCAGCTACATACGAACCCTAGAACCTGTCAATAGTGGGACGGATGAAATAGTGACAGTACTCTCGTTGGTGATAGCCGAAAATGGAAGAGAAGGAGGTGAAGACCTAGAAGAAGAACGAAGGAATGAAGGAAAAACAAAGCACTTCTCTCTCTCTCTCTCTCTCTCTCTCTCTCTCTTCACGTCTGGAATGATTGGAGAAGAAGCGAAGAGATATTTCAGATTTTGAAGGGAGCATAAACTAGTAAATTCATAAGCAAAAAGGTAGAAAAATAAAACTCTTTCGGCCTCTTCAGGTCTGAACTCCCAAATAAATGAAAGAACCTGCATGCACGCTTCCACTGAAACAACAGTCCTCAAAGTTGCAATTATTTCAAACATTAATGAGAAATGAACTTTAAACAAATTATCATATATTCATTTTATTTTATTTATCAAGGTTATCACAATTTAAATCTATAATGACAAATTAGTTTTAACACTTGATCTTGACAAGTCAAAGTGATTAAATAAATAAATAAGAATAAGAATATTTACTAATTAAAAACTATTAAGTATGAAATCACCAATTAATTAAAAATTCATATTTTTTGAAAATTATAAGACAATTCACAAATGTGGGCACACAATTTACGGGTGTAAATAATCAAATGTGACTTATGCCATGAAGACAAATATGGATATACAGTTCATGAGAGTAAATAACTAAATGTGGCTTAAGCCATAAAAAAAAATATGGACACACAGTCTACGAGGATAAGTAACCAAATGCAACCTAAGCTACGAAACAAATATAGACACATAGTCTACAAGGCTAATATTAACCAAACACGTCTTCAAGCTACAAAATCAAATACAGGTATGAAACTTACGAATAATAAATATGAGAACAGAGCTCATGAAAATCAAACTAGCTGGTCATTGACCATGGCACGCTAAGGGCTAGTGAAACTGTAGTTAGCAACCAGTGTTTTTATATAAAATCTCCTCCAAATCTATTTTTAAACATGCAAAAAAAATCATCACCATTAAAATACAGTTTTCATTCCCAAAATCAAACTCTCATGAATAGTTTTTAAGCATCAAAACTTGCCTAAATAAAATTTTATAATTGATGTCCATACTCACATTTATTAAATAATCAAAAATTTCCAAAATTAGTAAACGATTTTCATCAATCTTGAAAGTAAATGTTGTGAATTCAAGAACTAGAGTAACTTGGTTAACAAAAGTAATCAATACTAGAAATATATTGATACATATAAATTATTTAAAACAATATTTTGATAAAAAGAAAATTTTCTCATAACTTGATTGGAATGTTATCCACTTGTTTGAGTTTAAAATGATAATTTGTTCATGCTAAAATACACCTCTCTCAATTGCCTCTTAGCTACTTAATTATCTAGACAAGAATAAACAACTTCTTTAACGATGGCTCTACTCCATATATCTTCAATAGACATTCATTTCCTCCACATTTCCTCCGCTATCCTCTATAGTACACAAAATTATAATATTCCACTAACACATACTTTAGATAAACTATACCTTTATTTACATAAGCACTCTTTCCCCAACATCATAACTTGAAGCCAAAACATTTTATTTTAATATATTTGAAGGCTTAAATAAAAACAATAAGTTATTGCTCAAAGTAATAATAATAGTAATAATAAAAATAATTAAATAAACCATCTTCATAGATCCCATATCACCTTCCAACACCTATATGTAAGCAAAGTCCTTAATACCTTGAATATATATTTAATTGCTCTATTCCAACTCTTCTTCACATTTTAACAAACAGCTCATCATGGGCATCAAAATTTAGACTATACCATTAAGTCACATACTCTACAAATCACGTGCACAACAATTCATAAAATTTATATATGAATTTAGTATGCTTCCCAAACTATTTCTATCAAAAATCCATTCAAACATAACTAAAATTATTCCTTTTTCCTGTACCAATTAAAATTAAAGCTACATGTAAAATAGGAGTATCCACCTAAAATAAATTCCTTGCCTTGCCAATCGCTTTCCATCAAACTCCTACTTCTCCCCCTCTTCACGTGCAACAACTAACAAGATAAAAAAAAAAAACAACAATCCACCCATTATTTCAACACACAATGGACGATGCGATACGAGGATTCTTCCTTCCTTCTTGTTTTTTCAAATGACATACCCAACACCAGATTGTGCTAAAGGGTGGAGGAAGAATCAAGCACTCACCCACACAGTACCGAATCAACATGGACAGGGAGAAACAGAGGATTTATGGCGACAGAACAGGAAGAAGAATCAATTGACAAGAACTGAGTTGGAAGAAGATTTGGTGCATTTAATGGAGACCTGTAGCAGCGACGGACAGCACCCCACACGCTCGCGTCAGCGACGGAAAGGATGAAGGAAGATGACTATCGAACCCTCTCCCTCTCCCCCTCTCAAAGTCGCCAAAAACAAAAATGGGATGAAGGGGAAAATATCTAATGTTTTTATTCATTCATTTATTTTTTTCGAAGAGAATTTGGTAATTTCACAAAGTTGGTGCAAATAAAATGTCTCCCACACTATAAGTATTCGAATGCAAGATATGAAGATATCTACTAGGAGTAATTTTCACTAAGGCACAAACTTATCTTGCTATATCGATTCCAAAAGTATAAAAATATAATCCATAATATATTTTTTATAAATCTTAATACAATTATCATACATATATACATATACATATATATATATATATATATTTCCTTGAGAGTCATCACATTGTAGTTTTATTTAAAGTTTTTGGGTCATTGCAACATCATTGTAGCAAACCATAAGGGACTTGAGCCTACCCTTGGATTTGTGCTCTCATCCGTTGTTGGGATGCTCAAATGTGTTCAACTCCACACCAAGCTATAGATCTGTCACCCTGAAACTTCCTCTTAGAACCCAAAAAATCCACCATCAATATTTGCCGCAATCTTTGCCATCATCGACTCAGCACTTGGGGGTACCCACCAGAGATCCCCCCTCCCCCACCATTACAATACAAGTGAAATTACCTTCGTTGACAATCATTGCACAATCTCGGTAGCAAGCAGTCTCCACCGACCATTCCATCAAAACACCTTAACCCCACATCGCCACCAAAGATCATGAACCCACACACCCCCCCCCCACAACCCACCCCCAAAGCAAAACCCTACTCAAACTTGGCATGCTCCGAGCGGAAAACCTCCCAATAAGATGACTCCCCTAGTGGGAAGAGTTCTGAACAGCAGTCTCCAAATGCGATGAAGAAGCTGACCGGAAAAGGAGAAGGAAACCCTAGGCCTATAATATAGGATCATTGTAGATCTAAATCAAGAGGAAACTATCCATACAAGACAAAATACAAAAATAAGTCCAACATTGAAACTATGAAACTAAAGAAAAGACGGCAGAGTTAGTTAGCCGTGTGATTTTGGCTTCAAGCTTCAATCTCCCATTGAATCTAACTAATCTTAGCTTCCCAAGCCTCCCAAATGCACCTTTCCGATCTTGTGCAGCCTGCAAAAAGTCCCTTTGCTGTTATTCTCTGTTGAAAAGCTACCTATCATTTTCTTGTTCAAATATGCATTTAAGTGAATCTGTGCATTTTGGTCAGCGTCTAGTCCAATTGCACCTCATGTTGCGAAGAAAAGTGAGACATGGTGATTTTACTTTATCCAGATAAGATAATTAGGATCCCCATTTTATTATATAATTATGTGTTAGATTTGATTAGATATTTGAGTAGCTAGATTATTTTTAATATGATTTAATTTGGTTTTAAATTGAATATCTTATCTTGTTTTATATCTTTGAATAGGATCTAGATTAATATTTTTGGGTGATAACAAGGATTCCAAAACCAGAGAATTAAGCTCCCCCCAAGGGTACTTTTCATCATGTTCACCAAGAAAATTGGACATTTGGATGTGGGCCACATTGCTTAAAGCCCAAAAATTAAACTAGCCCTGATTGCAAGAGCAAAATACTTGGGGTTCGTGGCTTTAATAATTAATATATATCATAAAAGAATAATGCATAATTCATCAATTTGAATCTTAAGATTTTAAGTTAAAATATAACATCCTTTTATTGGTCCCATTTTATATTGATTTATAAAATGCTTACTATATTTTATATAAATATGGTAGATTAAAAATAATAAGTACAGTTTACTTACTTATTAAATTTTCAAAAAATAAATATGAAATGATGAATTGAATTAAAAATAAAATATATAAAAAGGGTTCTTATTTATACTCCCTCTATTAAAAAATGTAAAGCATTTTTAGTCTTTTGAGGTATATTATTGCCTTTTTTAAAAGTGCTTCTATTGATAATGACTTTATATTTATTGTAGAATGTTTAATAAGGATAAATATAAAAAGATATGATTATTTAAAAAGTAGGTAATTATTTTATTGAGGGTAAAATTTTATTAAAAATGTCTTACCTAAAAAGGAGTAAATAATATATTTGTTAATGTTTTGAACTTCCTATTCGTGCGATTGGATTATGTGCCGCTTTGAGATTTAATAACACACTATTTTTTTTAAAAAAATTAAAAATTATGGCGAAGATCTCATCCCATCTCATGAAAAGTGACTAGCACGACGGAAGAGGATCCCCTGGGAATACCCCATGCACTGCGCACAAGCTGCAAGCGAGGAGGAGGGAGAAAGGATGGAAAACGGAAAACCATGCACGTGCCAAATTGAATAACAATCAAAGCAACATTTATTAATTAAACAAGCAGGCTCACGCAGATAGCAAGGCAACCAATTAAGTGCAAATGAAGAAGATAACAAGTACAAATGACTACACGAACGGAGACTACTGAAGACTTATGGAAGGGTACAGCACTCAGCAGAAACATAAAACAGCAGCACGTATGCGTCAACACCAGAGTCCAGAGGAATGGTGATGATTTATTTATTTGTAAGCCGACACATATCACTTCTCAGGGTTATCATCACCGGTCACGATCCACTTGGAAATCCCAGAAGCGGTCGCCGGCTTCTGGTCGAGCAGGTGAGGAACGGCACCGAGGAAGATGGGTACTGGGACGGTGGTCCAATCCGAGGGGTGGGTGCTACTGTGGCCGGCGATGAGCTTCTTTTTGTCATAAGGCAGTTTGTCGAGGACTTCCTTGAGGGACAGCGAAGTTCTAATCACAGTAGGCCAAGTGTGGGTCTGGTAAACTACAAAGTCAATAGAATCTTTGAAGTCTCTGTACAAGGGCCAGTAATAATTATCACAGAGAGAAGCAGACACGGTGATGGAAACAAGAAAGTCGTCGGGAAGCTCGTTTTTCAGGGTCTCTATCACCTCGCCGATTGCATCCTTAAACTGACCTTGACCGTCAGGATGGATGTGTTGGTAGTAAACGTCAAGGCCATCAAGCTTGCGCTCCTCGATGATCTTTTTCAGGTATTTGGTGGCACTGGAGATCCAGGATTCTTTCTCGGAAGAGGTGACGGAAAAGCTGTATTTCTGGTCACGGCCTCCGATGCTGAGGAAGAACTTGACTTTGGAACTGGCCTTGTCCTTGAAAGCTTTGATCTTGGCCTCAGTGAAGTCGCTTTTATTGAAATAGCAGTCGAACTCTCCCGTGGCTTTCCCAGATGAATCGTAATCTCTGGCGAAGGCCAGAGCGACCTGGATTCCGTTCTTGAGCTTCACAGACTGCAGAATTTCGATTGAGCTGTTGCTGCTGGCGTAGACCCGATAGGATAACAATGGATTCGACATATTGAAATGTAGTTTTGGGTTGTGAGTCTCACTTCCGCCTCTCTCTCCTCTCTCTCTCTCTCTCTCTCTCTCTCTCTCAGATTCTAGATTTGGCTTTTGCTGGGACTGTGCCAGTGTGTCACTCGGCTTCCTTCTCGCCCATATTTATACACCTCACTTGCTTCTCGTGCAAGCATTTTGACGTCACTCCCTTCCGTCATGTACCCTTACGTCACGTCCTGTTTCCCGCGTTTGGGCTGTTGCTTATCGCTTGATTAGCTTCTGAAGCGTTCAGATTAAAAATCCGGATCGTTATATTTTTATTTTATATTTATTATAAAAAATTATAAAATTTTAATAAATTCATTTTATCATCTATCTAAATAATATAAATTTAATTTGGGTGGTTTAATATAATATTAATTTTTTTTAAATTTTCATTTTAATAAATTTAATATTAAAATCTACAAGTAAAGGTAATCTTCAAATTGAAATTTTTTTAAAAATTAAGAAAAAGTTTCAACTTGAAAATTTTAAATCTAGATGATCGCTCTTACAAGTGTATGAGATCATAGTAATAAATTATTCAAAATATTTCAGGTGTTGAAACTATAGAAAAGTTGTGCTTTTACTAATTTAAATAATTAATAGTTTGAGAAAATAGATAAAATGGATAATTTGATGAAAATATAATAAAAATAAATTAATAAAATAATGATGATGAAAACACAATCACTTGCAGTGTTGGGGTTTAGGATTTACTTTACAGGTTGATAGTTTTTACCCTTTAAGTTGACTCTTTAATAAATTATAGTGACAACTATTCCTAAAGTGTCTTAATTTTCTCCTGAATTATTAGTCTCTTTTTAATTGGTATTGAATTCATTTCCACAATACTCGAGGAGCTAATTAAACCATAAAACTATAGTTTAAGTTATTATAAATTTCTAGAACTATCCCTACTTAGTTATTTATGTTTATTTTTCTAGATCTAGGTTCTCTCTTCACCTTCAAGTCCATTAAGATTACTTACAAATTTGATTAAATGATAGTCAGTCATTAAATCAATATAAAGAACAAGAGAATAAATATAATTGGAAAAAGCAAACATATTTACAAATATAAATGCAAAAAATCAAAACAAAGAAAATAAAAATTAGCTCCCCAATTGGGCTATGCCCCTATCCCAACTGGATAATTTAGAAACACATAATAAAATTAAATAACATCATTCTAAAATCCCCAATTATGAAAAATGATCACAAAGAAAATTAAGGAGTAGAAAAAAATAATTATGATTTGTATAACTCCTCAATAATCTCGCTTTTAGCCTTCAAAATGCTTTTACAAGCTTCAAATATCTCAAAAAGAATTCTTGAGGTACTCAAATAAGTGATTAGATGATTTTTCTCTTTATTGAGGGGAGTATTTATATTTAAAGTAAAGATTCCTTCTCTTATTTTTCGTCGATGTAAGATTTTAATATATCTATATATATCAAGTACATGTCTCTCTTTGTTTCTTTCTTTGAATATCACATGGATCCTCCCCAAGTATCTTCATCCATCTGTACGTGCCAATATATATATATATGTATGTACATAAGATTCCAATTATATATATATATATATATATTATATTTTCTTTTCTTTCTTTTCTTCTATCTGATTTATTTTTTTTCTACGAAATATAAAAAATATGAGTAGATTTTATATTAAAATCTCTTTCTATCTTATATTTAGTGATGAGGGAGAATATATAAATATTAATTAAATAGATATGAAATCTTAATAAATAATATCAAATCTAAACCAAAATCTATATCTATTTAATTATAAAATATGCACTTATCACTAGACTACCGAAAGTACATCTAGATAGTTATAAAATTTATAAAAATATTTAATATTCAATTTGATAATTCACGTTAAATCTGCGTTGTTTATATTGATGACAGAATAGATATATATTAAAGTTTTATAATTTTTATTTTAATAAATTTAAAATAAAAAAATAAAATCTGGAAATCTGGACGGTCTGAAGATGAGCACCGAAACCGGATTTTCCCTCTCCATATAAAGTATTTGAGACCGTTAACTGGGATTTGAGAGTTCGGACGAGCATTTTTCAATTTCAATATTCCAACACATTGCTAATCAAAACCTTATTTATAGCGGACTTATTAAAATAAGATCGTTTACTTGCATTATGAATTAATGTGTTTTCACGGAATCTTTCGTGCGTCAAACTACTGTATTTATCTTTTCTTTTCTTTTCTTTTTTTTTTTTTTTGGTTGGAAGCAAGATTTTTTTTTTCTTTTGCCAGAGTTGGAGGCAAGATTATTAGAGAGACATGTAACTGTGTCAATCATTTTTTTGGGGTTGGAGGCAAGATTATAAAATTAATTGCGTTAATTAATTTGATTTGGAGCTGTCTATATCAACTTAAGTTCTCTTAAACTTTTAACATCCTAACACTTTGCTCTTTGTTCATTTCTTCTCTTCCTCTTCATGACACGCATGCATGTTTGTGTGTACATGTATATATTCATTCTGGTCTTATTTATAATTTATTTTCAGCATGTTTTATTGGGATTAAAGAAAACATGAAACCTCATTAACTTTATCTTAAAATGTAATATCTTACCACCTCTATCCTCTACCAAGGACATAATGGCTTATAACATTTTGTTGAGTTTAAATTTTGATGATGGCAGATATAGTTTTAATTAACATAGTTAATATATTTGAGAATATAAAATAGCTAACTATATGCTTTAGTTGTTTTTATATATATGGTATTTAACTATAATTATGGAAAAAATGCTTTAAAATATTTTTATATATATTGTTATATATTATATGAGGTTTTGAAAAATGATTTATGCACATAAAATTTATTTTATACTATCATATTTTTCTTTATCCTAAAATAATTCTATATCCAAAACTATTTAAAGTGTTATTTTTATAACCTGGATAGTATATAAGACTTTTAATATGCATGGTATGATATAATAACTTTTATATTCATTCCCATACATATTGATACTTAGACTAATTGATCACATGGTTCATAACATATTATTGAAGGTTTTCCAAAGTAGAAACGAAGGTTTTCCAAAGTAGAAACGAGAGTAAGCATGAAAAAGAAGCCATTAAAGTTATTATTTTGCAGGGTCTAAACTCTGAACATCTAATTATTATGCCTTTTTAGATAAACAAATCAAGAATACGTGGTTTACTGGGATTATGAAAAATTTTAAACCTCATTACATTGTCTTTAAATTTAAAAACTTTCTAGTTTTACCCTCTAATAAGAACAATAAGAACTAAGCAAAAAGGTAAAAATAAATATAGAAAATAGTGAAATGTCATGTATCGAGGATGAAAATCAATATTCACTATTTGCCCTATAAAAATGAGTATGTATTTGTTTATATATATTTGCAGTATCCAGATTTGCATTTTTAGTTTTAACCTTCCGGATACCGTCTTATACCATAAGCTTTTTAAGAGTTCGGATAATGATATGTGTGACAAGACTGTAAGATTATGAATTCTTGTGATTTATTATATATCGCTCCACCAAATCTTTTATTGGAAAAACATAACTCTGGATCTCTAAACTTTGCTTATGTTTTGCTATTAGTCCTTGTACTTTTTTTTTTCAATATTTGAGGTCTTTATACTTTTATTTTTTATTGTTTTAGGTTCCTTCATAAATAAAGTGTATGGACCTTAAAAAGACTTAAAACAATAAAAAAATAAAATGTAGGGACTCAAAGTTATATATATATATATATATTGTTAAAAGAGTGGCATTGGTAATATCGCCTTGGTTATAGTGATGAGCTTATAAAATGAGACTGTTTACTTGCATTATTTATAGTGTGTTTTCATCTATATAAGTCATGCGAGGCGTTCATGCACCATCATGTTCATTTAATTATTAATTGCGTGTGAGCAATTATTATCAAACTATGGATTGAGCTACTTCTTCATTTTCTTGTCTTATTTACACGTTACTTTAAACAAATTTTTATTAAAATCAATAAAAATCTAAAATCTAAAAACCTATTAACCATGTTTAAAAAGTTAATAATTCCCACAACTTTGCTTTTATTAAATTTCACCAACATCTAATGGACTGGGATAAGAGCAAAAGTTTGTGTTAAAAATTTAATGATCTAACTTATAACTTATATAAAAAATCTTCTTTCTCTTCTTTGCAAATAAGACGGGAGGAAGTACGTAAAATTCTATTTTACTCAAAACAAATCATATATATATATATATATATATAGTGCACTACACATGTACTTCAAGATAGAGAGAGGAGGATGGCTTTTTTACCAAGATACTACACACAGTAAAAGAAATCACCTAGATGATGCAACGTGGAAAGTATTTACTAAAATATTACACTGCGTTCAGATGAAGAATGAGTTTGAGGTTCTGAAAAAATTGTTTTCGCCTAGATGATTTCAGCTTATTATTGCTAATGTGACATTTTATTCCCAATCTTTGCTTTCTGCCCCCGGTGATCGCTTTGTCAAGTCTTTCTTCATTTTCAAGGAACTCCCCAGCTTTTGCTTTTCATGCATGAGATTAGAAAATTCATGTGCATGTGCTTTTTATTGGCTATAAAAGGGATTGGAAACATAAAGAAGGTAGTAGCAAGATTGAGGCTAGCACGAGCCTCCTCCATGTTCAAAGGTAATTCTTGTTCTTCTCATTTTATTCATGCATTAGTGAGATTGAATATAATGTTATTTGCTCTTATTTGCTTAGTGTTCTAACATTTTATTCCTACACTTCTTATTCTTGCTTCATTGCTTGCCTGCTTCATTTCCCATGCACTCTCATTTCTCTCTTATTCAAACTTTAAAATTCTTCTTTCTATTCCATTTCTCTACTTTAGTTGGTAGTGTTAGTATTATGATTAGAGTTTAAAGTACATTTTCTTCCTTTTTATCTGCTTAAAGCCTGACCACCCATCTAATTAAGGTATATATTTT